CCCCAAAACCCCAAAACCCCAAAAGGATTATTTGTATAGAATCTCTAGGAGAAACTGATTAAACAAATAAACATTTTATTTTTTAAATAATGGAAATACCTCTACTTGTAATCTCTTTTTTCGCTTTAGGACTTATATACTGCCTACTGCTGTTTATTAATATTTTTAGGTAAACTATAATTCTCTAAAATTTTAGGTTCACAAGATACAAATATTTCTCCATAGACTCCTCAATAGCTAAATAATTCTATGTATGCCTTTTTATAATAGAGGTAGTGAGGGCTACAACATTTATCATTTCATGTATGATGTACAAGCTTGGAATAGATGAAGAATCTATGTTTGCACTAAGAGCTGCAATGACAGCTTCTACTCATGTAGACCAAATAGATCTTATTCCGAAACCGTTATTTTTGTTCATTATTGTACCAGATTTTCTATTTATCATTGCATTTTTGCTATTGTTCTGGTAGTTATTGTCACTCTATAACCAAGGTCATGCAAATTTATTTAAAGTTATGTGCTAAGGAAGAGGTTAATATTTAATTCTAGTCACAATTGTAGTGCTAAGTACACTATAACTAACGATGCTTTGCCTCTATATATTCTCAGCAGTTTCAGCTAAAGCTTTTTCAATTGAATGCACAGTATTGAATTTTGTAGCAGCAACATTCGTTTGGATAGTGCTACTGATTTATGCGATTAAATTTTCTGGAAGTCCTTTCAGATCACCTGCATATAAAATTAAAATGAGAAAACTTACTCTAGCAATTGTAATCTGGTGCATCACTCGATATTTTAGAGGAATATCTGGGGCATTTGAAACTAGATGCTATAAATTTGTACTCTAAAGTCTTACTAATAACCTCAATGATAGCCTTGCACTTCCTTTATTAAGTATATTGGTTTTTGTTATTCAAGAAGTAGTGCCAATGCTTGTAGTTCTAGATTGGAGTTTTATGGAAATTTTTGTCATCTGCGGGGAATAAAATACGTCAAGAAGGTATGTGCCTGGAAATTATATGTATGACGGTATGAGTAGTTATGACTATAACGATTAATTTTCGTTGAACTTCAATAACTTTAAGGATTCTAACTTTAGAATAAGCCCATCAGCAAAAAACATCTAGCCAAAATTATTTACTAGCAGATTATCGAATGATAATCACGGATCAGGGACTGGAGGAATTGGAAGTAGAAATGATTCTCTTTCGTCCATTTAAAATTCAAAAACTAAGATAAAAAGAATAAATAATCTTGGTAGATACTAGTAAGATCTTAACGGCATGGTTTCGAGAATCAAAAGACAAATAAACCTCGATTTATAAGATGCTAGATAGCCTCTTTTTTAGAGTAACTAAAATCTAAATATCATAAACGAAAATATCAGTAATAACGCGATTGAATTGATTTCAAATAACTAATAGAATCAGTAATTCGTTAACGCAGACAGTTAAGATTTAATTGATCTTTAGCAAATATTTAACATCATAATCGAGAAAAAAGATTTTTAATTATTAAAGGTATTTGACTAAAAGAATAAAGGACTAGGAAAACTATATGAAGCCAAATTTCATGAAAAGGATGTAATTTCTCTAGTTATTATATATAATTATAGGTTCTATGTCGAGAAATATAATTCAAGAGAGTTAAAGAGTATGTTGTTGAAGATTTCATAAAGGAAATGATTACTTTACAGTATATCATAAAATATTGCTAATTATTTTAGGAATGTTGGACTAAAGGATATGCTTTCAATACTGGGAGTGAATTTTGATCCTAAAAAATTAATTCTATACATTCTAATGCCAAAGGAAGTGTCACTATTTTCAATTTTGCACTAAAATTAATTCAATATCTTCCTTTCTGGAGAACTGAAGAAAAACATAGCAATAAAGATAGCTAAATGCATGAAAAATATCCATGAAAAATAAAGAGATTTAAGATCCTCTGATCCTGAATCTAACTATTACTCTCATAAACATTTATCATCATACAACGTCATGTTTTGTGATTTCAAAGATAAAGTATAAAATAACACACTATAAAATGAATTTACGGTTTAAATCTCTGATTTGGGGTCAGACTTATTAAAGAAATATGCTAAGCTTTTTATGGGATATTAGAATCTAAACTCATGGAGCCCACCTGAGCTTTTCTAATAAGATCCTTACTTTAAAAGTACAAACTCTAGTCTTGCATCAATCTAAGATAATCAAAATTAATAGTAAGTAAACTCAGTATAGTCTTAGATAGCTATAAATGATTCAAGATCCATAGACATATATAGTTATGGTGTTATTTTGTGGGAGCTTGAAACAGAATTAATCCCATTTGAAGGAATGGACGAGAAAGAGATAAAAAATTTAGTATTAGATTAGAGTCTAAGGCCTTAAATAACTCATGACACAGATTAAAATTTAGCTTATTTGATTAGAAGCTGTTGGCAAAAGAAACCTGATAAAAGACCTAACTTTGATTATATTATAGAATTCTTGGATAGAGTACAATTTAGTGAGTCAATTAAATTTTGATTAATTAAAGATAATACCAATTATTATTTTTATTCTTGCCAACGGGGTTTTGGGGTTTTGGGG